TACAGCTTGCTTGTGTTTGCCTGTGAGCTTGTGTGGGTCGGCTCCGTTTATGAAACCTAGCTCCCATGCACATACCTCCCGGCTTATATCCTTCTGATTTGTGCCGGATTTGGGGTGTGAGTGCAAATGATGATGGTGTAGCGCAAGTTACCATGGTTCATCTAAAAGCGCAGGCGTCCTCTGGCTGGCCACAGGGACATGCAAATCCGAAACCGGATGCCGCAACCATATAATTCCGTTCCACAATATGTGAGTTGTCATCGTTCGTCTATCTTCAGGATAGGGGTTTACTCTGCATAAACGTACACGCAAAAGCTAATTAGCCTAGCTTCTTGCCCTTGAAATACTAAACTGAGCTAGAAACCGAATGTAAGTGTTCTTTGACAACCGCGTAACGCCATGATAGGTAGCTGAACATGACATCTACAGTCATTTATAAAACATTTGCAACTGTCTTCGTGGTTGGCCTGGAAGTGTCTACAATACAGCGTATCCAGTGCGCTCTACATTCACCAGCGCGCGCGTTTGATTAACTGAAATCACCAATATTTAACTTTGACACACGAATCTGACTTCAAGACTGACCAAGGTGTCGAAGCATGGGAACCGACTAACGTAAAATATCCTGACATACGCCTATTTCACAACAAACGTGTGGTTGTTGTCTGACCACCAAATGAGATGCGTCTACGACGGACAGCGACTCAGTTGCGCCCTACCCACACGGGTAACGATCGATGAGTGGTATGTCGCTCCATCCGGAATTATGGCTCAGAGGCGTTGATGTGTGCGCTTATCGAGATGCGTGTCTCTCGTAATGACTTCACGGTCGTCCTAAGTGCAGGAAAAGCGGAAAACTGAAGCGGTTCATTTTATCACAATTTTTAAACGTTTTGATGCTTATATTTTTTGGCCAGTCCCCTTACTACCTGGTATATCAAAGCATTTGTACTAGGATTTCCGGCACTTTTTTCATTGGCCAAGTCTCCATAGCCCTCACCACACTTTAAACCAGTCAATGTGTAAAGGACTACTATTTCGGGACTGCTTATAATTACTAATAAGGATGGCACAAGTGAAACTGTATGTCAGATGTATGATGCCTCCACCTCTCTCGTAGGGTCCAGAAAACAATATTTGAGGGTAGCAGCAGAGTTGGGGTTGATAAAGCCAAACTTAGAAAAGCGTCTAGAGTTTGGAGATCATGCTTATCATCAAGTTTTTTGATCCATTTTCGGAAGCCAAAACCATATACCTTGAGGTATATAGTGAATTTATGGACGCAAATGTAACAGCGGTACATGGTCAGGTGTTTTTGTATTGCAGTGTTTTCACTGTGTGTGAAAGTTAGCAATCGAAGCTTTTCACAAAGGGTTGCTTGAGGCAAGTAGAATGGAAGCTCAATGTTACAGATGATTAGACTGAGGAACTGTCACGCAGTACGCTTGTCACACACAGTACACATTTCAAAATGAGTTTGTAGCTAGAATCCATCTAGAATTGTGACATAGCAATACTTCACACCAAAGTAATAAGCAAAGTTTGTCGAAGATTTGACACGACTGTAGCGAGAAATTGACAGCCCGAAATTCTTTTATATGAGTTTAATCCCTAGAAATAAAATGGTGGTCTATGATTCAACGGTCCTGAATCCTGCAGATAACATATTGGATGTTTCCAACGAAACCGCCGGGTTAGTGAACAAATTGGTGGTTAATATTCGTCCTTAGCAACAAATGGGTTAGGGAACATTTGGGTAACATTGAGACTTATCAAAGTTACAAAAGATCGAGCCATGCACAACCCACTAAACAGGAATGTAATGCATTTGCATGTGCAATCCACCGTTATGACTTGGATCAATATGTCTAGAGACACCATACAACTCAAACGCTAGCTCAACGGGTGGAAGAAGCAGTGCTCTTAGTTACAAAACAACAGATGTCGCAAAATCTATACTGTATATCCAAGGTTTGTTCGAGATGGCAGTTCGGAAATCGATGCATTGAGGAGCTAAATTCCATAGGTTTCACTGATTCTTCCAATCTTCAACCAAACATGCAGCATGGGGCTACCGAGAATGTCACTGATTCATCACAAAGCAAACAGGTGTGAATTAACCAAGGCCGTAACCTGGAGACGGCAGGTACTGAGAGTGAAACGGGTGTTGCTCCACCCAAGAATCTTCATTCCACATCTAGTTTCTCTGTGAATCCATAAACGTGACTCATTCGCGAATAACATGCCCCAGGTTTCTCAAATCTACATTACCTCGCCGAAGACTGCATTTTGAGAAATGTTTAATTCTGCAACAAATATAGATGCCTAGTGACATAGCTCACAATCTGTGTACAGATATTGTGCCATCGGAACCATGGTGGAATAGGAAAACAGGGTTAGACTAAATGAAAAAAGTAAATAAAAATGGTTTATTTTTTAACGCAGTTTTTGAGTTGTTTGATGTTTTTATTGGAAGAGGGAAGGGGAGGTACCATCCAAAGTTTGTCAGTGGGCGAGAAGCTACCCGGTTGCCCAGGCGGAAGTAGAGGGTTGTCTTAGACGCCCTACCCCGAGTCTTTGATCCGGGATCTAACCTACAAGACAGCAGGGTGATATGAGTTTATCACAACCAGTTGGGCGCCGGTGACCAAACAATTGCTTCATACGCCTTTAGGAACGCATAGAACCAGGGGTCCAACACACCCTTGGATTATAATGCCACTCAGGAGAGGCAAGGGGCAGTGACTTTATTTATTGGTGAGTCACATCCGCCCCGTCACAGTGTTATTAAACGGACATGTGTAGCACTTTATGTGGAGAACGCTTGCCAGGCGAAAACCCACCACTTCCAGGAACACTGCCGCTGAAACCTTCGCTGGAACGGGATTGTCCCGAACCACCCAGCTGGCACCAGGAAGAGGTTGTTCGGCTGTCGGCTGTCTTCTTTCTTAATGTGGGTAAAAATTAGTTTGCTGGAGTAAATTCACATGCATATGAGCATTCCATATTACTGTACCACTGTAAAATCTGACGAAATAACCATCTCAAATGTGCTCCTTTTCTAAACCGAACTAAATACAAAAACATGTATAAGAGAAGAAATTTCCGTTTGACCATCCACTCTTTCGTTCACCACCCCCTGCCCTCCTTCTGTTAATGCCGTGGCAATAAACCCTATTCAAGCTTTATTCCAAAATTTTATAGAAAGTACTCGGATACACGGTCTCCCATTAAAAATTGTAGTCTGCAACCCGACCTCCATCTGCATGTCTCCGATCCATAACATTCCATCTACTTGATATTCTATTCACATAGCTAAAATAGCAGTCCATTCAAGCCTATATATCTAACTTCAATTCATAACGTTTCTTTAAAATGTGTCATGGTGCACAGATGTAACGACAAAATGACCCTTTATTGATGGGTACGAAGGACTTATGAAAAATCGACAGATTCTAGGAAGCGGGTGAGCGATTTACCTAAAACATCATTTTACTGCAACGCGTATTGAATATTCATCACCGTGAAGCGTAAGGGATAAAGTATGGCTTATAATTTCTGCGTGCCAGCAACCGTTACCTTCAGATGATTTATATAAGTCTTCAAATAACAATCAGGATGAAATAGCATGTATGGTACAGGCATGCAAATGTGCCACGGAATCAGAATATAAAACACGTTATTTGCTTGTGCATTTAACCAAACAGCGGTGAAATATTTTGAGGGTACTGTACCACCAAAATAGCAAAATCTCAATGGTTTCTAGTGTTGTCAACAACAAATAATTTTTCCTGCCCATGACAACAAGAAATGTTTTAGTGTTTAGCTGTGAGTTATATATTACCACTAACGCGAGTATACTCAATAACTTTCCTATAAGTGATCATCCGGTGCTGCAGTGCAACTTTTAAATGCAGATGACGAAAACATAAGCTGTAACCTCTTTCCTTGCAACAATTTTCATAGATATGGCTTGGTTACATCATGCCATTCGCTCGATAAATTGGAACCGATAGATATATATTTTACATGAGATATATGATAAATTACAAACTTTACGCATGGTGGAACGATTACTCACTAAGCTTTCCTCATATGTCATTGCCTGACGCAATCAGTACTTTGCCCTCACTAAGGCAGTCATTATGTGAGTACTAAAAGACAAACTCCTTGGTCCTTTAATATTTTTTGTAAAAGTTAATTAAATCATTGGATGTTAAATTTATTATGTCGCCTTTTATTAAAGAATATGGGTTAGGGTTAGGTTTACGTTTACGGTCGTGTATTCCCAAAAATATGAGTACACACGGATTTTGTGATATTTCAGCTCTTGAATCTAAGTGTCACATGTGGCCAATGTCGTCTGCACAAGATGAATGTATAACATATCGCATAAGTGTCAATTATACAAAGCAACATAACTTTGTCTGCGATACTTGCAAACGTCCAACTCCTCTGCGCAGTGAGCTTCCAAGTATCAAAAGCTCAAAGACCGTTCATCGGTCGTTCCTTCTCATCTTATGAGTCCAGGCTGTGGTTATGCAATGCATACAATCAACCCCCTCCATAATCCCCAACCCACCTTTAATCCTCCCTCAAAATCCCCACATACCCCCTACATTCCCTTAACACCCTCACCTCCCCCCACCATCAACCACCCCCCTCCCCCCATCCCACAAAAAATCCCATCCTCATACCCCCACTCACCCCTTTCCCAATCACACCCCCCCTTACCCCCGACCCCTCCCACTCCAACCCTCCCTCCCCCATTTCTTCCCCCCTCCTCCCACTCCCCCGCCACCCGACCCATATCCAACCATCTCCTAGCCCCCCCCCCCCCCCTAGCCCCTCCCTCACCCCCACCCACCCACCCTCTCCTCCTACCCCATCCTCCCTCCCTTCTCACCCCCCCCCCCCTTTCACCCCCCTCACCCCCCCCTCAACATCCCACCCCCCTCCCCCCTACACTAAATACTCCCCCCCCTTCATCCCAACCTCCCTTACCTCCCCCTCATCACCTCCCCTACTCCCCCCCATCCCCCCCTCCCGCCCCTATCCCCACCCCCGCCCCCCCCCCCCCCCTCCCCCCCCCCCTGCTCCCCTCCACCCCGCCCCCCCCCCCCCCCCCCCCCCTCCCCCCCCCAACCCCCCCCCCCCCCCCCCCCCCTAACCCCTCCCCCCCCCCCCCCCCCCCCCCCCACCCCCCCCCCCCCCCCCCCCCCCCCCCCCCCCCCCCCCCCCCCCCCCCCCCCCCCCCCCCCCCCCCCTCCCCCCCCCCCCCCCCCCCCCCCCCCCCCCCCCCTCCCCCCCCCCCCCCCCCCCCCCCCCCCCCCCCCCCCCCCCCCCCCCTCCCCCCCCCCCCCCCCCCCTCCCCCCCCCCCCCCCCCCCCCCCCCCCCCCCCCCCCCCCTCCCCCCCCCCCCCCCCCCTCCCCCCCCCCCCTCCCCCCCCCCCCCCCCCCCCCCCCCCCCCCCCCCCCCCCCCCCCCCCCCCCCCCCCCCTCCCCCCCCCCCCCCCCCCCCCCCCCCCCCCCCCCCCCCCCCCCCCCCCCCCCCCCCCCCCCCCCCCCCCCCCCCCCCTCCCCCCCCCCCCCCCCCCCCCCCCCCCCCCCCCCCCCCCCCCCACCCCCCCCCCTCCCCCCCCCCCCCCCCCCCCCCCCCCCCCCCCCCCCCCCCCTCCCCCCCCCCCCCCCCCCCCCCCCCCCCCCCCTCCCCCCCCCCCCCCCCCCCCCCTCCCCCCCCCCCCCCCCCCCCCCCCCCCCCCCCCCCCCCCCCCCTCCCCCCCCCCCCCCCCCCCCCCCCCCTCCCCCCCCCCCCCCCCCCCCCCCCCCCCCCCCCCCCCCCCCCCCCCCCCCCCCCCCCCCCCCCTCCCCCCCCCCCCCCCCCCCCCCCCCCCCCCCCCCCCCCCCCCCCCCCCCCTCCCCCCCCCCCCCCCCCCCCCCCCCTCACTTAACGTTTCTGGTAACACAATTCTATTATTTACCATTTTACAATCGTAAGTTTTATTTCTGCTAATATCTCCTAAACATTCCGGAATGCGTTCAAGGTGAATATGCGAGTAAATATTACCGATGTTCATACATACAACAATGTTTCTAAACTATGGGGTCAGTGAGCACGTAATGATCTCATCTTTCAACATTCGTCTTCCTATTGCATTGTTAGAATTATATAAGGAACGTACTGTTTCAAATTATTTGATTGAGGCTTTTAAGTAACAATGCGCGGTGTAGCGGTACATATTAAAAACAAACTAAATTGGTGGATTAAAATTTTTGAGAAATTTTTTTCTTGGATATGCCCCAATACAATCTAGGAAAGTGTCGCCAACACATTAATTAGTTGCGCCCTTTGTTCACTTTTCGGTCGTCTTTGTATAAACAAACGTTATGAATTCCAAAAACGCACGAATGCAGAGTGTGTCTGAATAATTGTCGCATAGCTTTTCATGGGTCCAAATTTGTCTGTTTGCATTATAACGGCATCTAAATTGGAGAGTGCAGCTTAATTAGGCTCAGACTTGGATGGTATCAATTCTCGTACTGGTTCACACAATATTCACGTTTTTAGCTCCGTTAAGCTTATACTGACGAAGCAGACGCCATTTGCGCGCAATTGTATAAGTAGTTGTCTGTTTTCTCGGGTCAAATGGAAATCATAATTTGAGCATAGCATGAGAAGACATGCAAAGTCTAACATTCTGCTGTTGTTTAAAAAGCATGATGTAAGGTTATCTAATATGAGTTAGGAAGTAGAGAAACAGTCTTTTTATGATAACTAAACGCATATATTGCAAATTTGATCAAATGGTCCCGCAATGCTGATTTTCGACATCGCGTGTGTTTAACTAATCATTTCTCACAATATTTATGCGGGCATTCTGTATCACAAGTACTTGTGACGAATATTTCTTAGAGGTGAAGAACTCTTATCAAAGTTCAGGTCTCGTAGCCATTTAATTAAGTTCATTTTTACTGACAGTGGGAATAAATACCTTAGGACATCTAATTAATGTTACTATTAGATATGTAGTTGATGACGTAATTCCTGTACTCCGCTAAAATAAAAGTAGCAGATAGAGATGCCAATGGCAAAACTCATACTTATTCATCGTTGGGACATGATAGCTGTCCTAAATCCCAAGCTGTCCGTCCGTAGATAAAATGACTTGTCATTCTTCTAATAAAGCACAATAACATTAAATATAAGACAATCTGTTGAGTAGCACTATTTGCAAATTTAAAGGCAGCTTACAATATCAGCATTACGTACACAAATTGCTGCGTCACGGTTATTATCATTAATCAGGAACAATTTTTTCTTACTTCACGATGCATTAGCGACAAATTTTAAATATTCCTTTATATGTAATGCGTCTTCTAACATTAAATCCAGACACAATACGAAAATTCATTTTTGTTTAAATAATGTTATAAGTTTCTCTACTAAAAGTCCATTTGTTATGCAGTGTCCTTATTGTTTTGTTGGCAGATGGCAAGTACCATTCCTACTCGAACGCGTTTGCAAACTCACATGGTTAGTAGATGTTTGTCTCAGAATCTTTGAAATTGTTATGAGTAATATGATTGTGTTACAAAAGTATTGCATGACAATTCCTAAGCAAATTGATCCGCTTTTGCAGAATGAATCAAAACTTACCTGGGCCGTTCATAATGTACTCAAGAAGTATATGATTGTCAGTAACCAAGCGTTTACTAAGTGACTCGCGCTAGTGCAATCTGCATTTATTTGATGTCTTTACGGATATTAATGGTGTTTGGGGGAGATTCATATCAGTTCTCCCTCTCGGATCGCCATTAGTTTGTCGGGTACTATTCTGACACCACTCACTTCGCGGGTTATAGGAACCAAATGTGCTGTCATGTTAGGCCGGCAATGTTCCCGAGCTAATAGGTATTAACATGAAAGCGCTACTGTTGTGAAAGGACACTGTCAGCACAACGCTTGTGTAAACTTTCTTGACATATGTTGTAGTCACAAGGTTAGACTTTTCCTTTTAGAGAAATCAGTTTTCAAGGATAATATAAAACTAAAAATCAGCATCATTAAAATATGAAAAAATAACGGTCTCAGCTTAATATCACTGCATATTCATACAGATGACAAACACGCCGCAACGAATGAAGAATAAATTATAAATCACTATGTCACATAAATCTACGAGCATTTTATGTGTCGCACAAAAATAATAAAGTGTTTTCCTTAAATGATTAATAGCTTTCATTTTGTCATTTTAAAATTTCGTACTATATAACACACTTGGGCACAATTTGCCAATTTTATAATGTACACTGCTGAAAAATTTATCATTTATGAAGTATTCCCTGTTGCTTATAAATTCAGGTCATGAATCAGTAAAACTAATATGAATAACTTGCCAGTTGCTCGCCTTAATTTCATGTACTTGACTAATATTATTAAAGAATAAACCTGGTTATACTATTGGCACTCAATTCTCAAGGTTGTCAATATGCCTTCATTTCTGTTAAAAGTGAGATAGTGTTACTCTAGCTCTCCTTCGGTCTCATGAGTGCGCACTGAAGGGAATGCTGGAGAAGACAAAATATTTCTGTTTGCTTACTAATGGCCTGAAATAACGTTTTTCTATTCTGATTTTAAAACTCGGCTGACTGGCCAATTAGCTTCGTGTATTACAGTTTGTGTAGCAATATTTTTTGATTACTTTTTTATAATTCAATCGTTTTTCTGATTCTGAATTTGCGCGTTGTGCATTTGCCTGTGCATTAATTCAATTGCCCCTATATCTTTATATTTATTCACCATTTAGGCACCATGTTTGGTGCGACACTTTTAACGAAGAAGAAAACGATACAAAATACCCGAATTAGAACAAACGCTGTTATGTGCCTTGTGTGCCACGCGAGTCTGCATATATAGTGTATTAATCGATTCGTTTAACAAGTTAATTTTCTTCCTAGGTATGGGCAACATTGTGTCAGATATTTTGTAGAGACTTCCAAAGTAAAATGTATCCGAAAACGTCGAGAAACCCCGCAGATCAACAGGTTGATAACTTTTCACGCGTACCCGGGATTACCTCCATAGGGACTGCTCTTTGTCTACACCAAAGTTTACATTTCATTGAACAAACATGAAGAATAGTGTTGTTTTGTTGCTGCATTACAGTCCAACCTTCTAGGACGGGCTGAGACCTGATTGAATTCTAAGGTAATTTTCTAGGTACTTCAGTTCATTAAAAACTTTTGCCCCCGGCCGAACGAAGTAGCGACCGGATGTAATGTTTTGTTTCTGCATACTCTCTATTTCATACATTGGAGACGGGTAAACGGCCACCGAAACGAACACAACCTGTGTGAGCAACTGCTGTTTGCCGGTCACCTGATACCAGTTAAATGTTCTTATTTTGGCTTATCGTAGCCTACCAACTTGCAGTTTCGGAATACTTGCCTCTTTTCCGAAGCCACCTAATTTATCTCTGATTTCTGCTCATGTGTTGTTACTTTGAATACTCTGGCCTGAGGCCCGGTAGATTGTGATTTGTAAGCAGAGTTTTTTGTGCTGATATGAGAGACTAGTGCGAAACTGCAGAGATTCATTCCGACAAGCATTACATCGCCTTCTGCTACGTCGTGATCCGACTTGATGTTGACTAGCTGCAGAAACCTTTTCCCTGATATATAAGTCCTGAAACTACTGGAAACGTGTATGCACTCGATTTTTATAGCAGCCTTGAGATTTTGCTGTCATTCTCTCATCCACAGGAGACATTCTACAAATTATGGAAATTACTTTTGATGGTCCCAATAGGGTCGCATTAAGGTTGAGTGTTCACTGCAGCAGCATTTATATGTTGAAGCGTTTCATCGATGAGAAAAGGGAGTGTAAATTCCTTTTACGCTTAGCTATTACCCCCAAGTTTCTGAAAGCTGTCAGTGAAGTCGAATTGGTTAGGCACGTAGTATGGTCACTTGGGTCCACAGCAACGCATCCAACGGAATAAAATACTCTAGGCTGGCACTACCGACAGTTATGAAAAGTAAAAGAGACAGCCTAATTTACGTTGCAGCGCGAAAGCAGAGAAGCTTCAACCGATCGGATAGCAGCCTGCAGCCGCAGCGAACACGGTCTACAAGATAATTCTTTTTCATGTAAAGCGACGCTTGATGGATGAAGTAGCACTGTTAAAAGACTCTGGTTTAAGGAGCTTATCTTCGAGCACTCAGCGCTCTTTCTAATTGACGACTTACATCTATCATCGTTAGTAAAGCGTAATTTAAAGTGCTGTGACCCATTTTTCATTGATCATTGTTAAATCAAGGTAAAAATTTTCCATTAGAGTTTTCTAATCTAGTTTTGGACCATGCACTGAGATCATTGTAAGAGAGTCTGTTGCACCTACTGAAATCGGAATACTCAATGCCGAAAACACAGAACTTCATAAATGGTCAGTCAGGAATCTCCGTTTCGCTCGTGACAATATATGAATTTTTACTACCAGTAAACCGGTGTTAATCCGAAGATTGGTCCAGCTTGCTTACAGTAAACCTTTGACAAGGTGAATCATCAAGCCTTCATAACAACAAGGGGATATGCAGTGTGAATAGCATATTGTGCCACTGGAACCGCGGTTACATTATTTGTAGAAATGGACGTTGTAGGGTTATGGGGACGTAGGTATTCATAAGATCGCGCAAGCGAAATCACGCAAATCCCAGACACAAATTCATGCCAACGCACAGAGGGCAACTAGGCCGCTATGACAAAGTGCAGCGGAGCGTTTTCAAACAGCGGAAATTTTCTACCTGGATGTTAGGTCAATAAACAGTGAACAATGTTTTATCATGGGTGAAGAAGCCTGCCCTTTACAATTACCGTAGGATGGCTGGAGTAAAAATTAAAATTTGACTAATCATCGAATAAGTAAATCGTTATTTCATACGACACCTATTTAAATGCACTACTGCACAACGATAGTTTTAATTG